GGAGAAGGGCAGTGAGCTGTGACCATAGCCTGTACGCATAGTAATTCCACATGGAACTTTCAGAACCGTCCAGCTTGTCTGTGATTCCTTCTGAACTTGACTCTTTTGCCTTCCACACAACATTTACAAAAAGGTCGACAGGCTCCAGAGGGGATGCCGTTTTTGTCAGGGCGCTCTGGGTTCACCTCTCTCTCTTGTCTGGTCCCCCATGGCTAGGCCTAGCTTCTGAGTTCCTTTGAGTGCCTATGCTTATCAAGCCCACCGTGGTTGGGTCTGGCAGTAAAGCCACTGGCCCTCTCAGCGGCTGCCTGTTTGCTGCTCATTTGGAAGTGCTCTGGAGCATCCTTCCAAAGTCAGGTGGCAGGGCACTGAAGGTATTCCATAGTTTGACTTAGCTGAAGGCCTCTTGGGTCACATAAAGTAGCAGCCCTTGTCTCTTTTCCTTTGCTGGCATCTTCAACACAACTCATCCAAGATCTGGCAGGACTGAGAGGTGTAATAGCTGTGTTGCTTTGGCTACGTTAGATAAGGAGCTCTCAGTGCCTTCTTATTCTGGCTGTCTCATTTGATTGTTTCAGCTTTGTGATTCTTCCTACGCCATCTTTAGGATCTTAGGACTGACAGGAGGGGCATTAGAGTTAGAGAATAGGAGGCATTTTTTCCTTATTGAAATGTGTTGGGGTAGTACAAGAAGACACTCGACTAACCTAAGGTGTTTTTATTACTAGGTTTAAAGCCAGTCCTCTCTGTTGTGATTATAGATTTTGTTGGGAGACTTGGCTTTTCTTACTCCAATAAAAGTTAAATATGTATATAGAGCAGAGAGTAAATTATATAAAAGTCTTTAGGGAGTGGATACTTAGCTTGAAGATTTTTACTAAGGTTTAGCAAAAGCTATTTACCTAGAAAAAAGAAACAATAGTCTTCTGCAAACATTGATAAAGTGCCTGGTGTGTGCAGGGTACTTCCTGTTCTCAAGGAGCATCAGTCTAATGATGCAGAGGTTATTTAGAGCAAACATGCAGCCCTGTGTCAGATCTGGGGTTTAAAGTCGTCTTTTGGAGGTTGAGTTGGGAGGCTTGAGACCTTAGTTGGGGCTGGCACCACCAGGCCTTTGCCGGGCCCCCAATCTTTCATTGTCCAGATGTGGTGTCTGAGGCTGGCACTGTGCCTTCGTCAACAAGGTATGCTTAGTGGTTCCCAAGAGTGAGCAAACAATTTGCTAATCTAATAGGACATGGGGGTTTAGATAATCACAAAATCATGCAATCTCTTTTCTGATGTAGCATAACATCATTAGAACCCAAGTGTTCAGGATTAAAGGGTATTCCTAGACGAGCGGTCAGACACTCAAGAGATTTGTGTTTATTATTTTATATGTTCCATTTTATTATATAAAATGAAGGTAAATGAAATCATTTTAGGTTTTTCTGTGAAAAAGTATTAAATTGAAAAGCCCAGGTGTTCAATCATTTAGACATTTATCAAAGCATGAATTACTCTTCTCTTATGCTTCTCCATATTTTCTTTTGAGCCTGAGATTGCAGTTTGATAGAAATATGTTATTTCATCTGTTCTTGGATTTTTAATCTTTGTGAAGCCTAGAAATAATGTTTCACCTGAGATTTGTTCAGAATGAATAATGTGTCAAATTTTCTTAATTACCTAACTTTTATAAAGGAAATTATCTCATAAATAAAGATTATTATACCAGATGCCTATTGCTACAGATTTTTTCTCAGTCTTCTCATTCATTCTGTATGTCTCCCCCATTCTCCTGCATTGCCTTTATTTTCCCCTTTCTTTTGTTTCTCTCCAAGCTATTTCTCTTGCCCTTTTATTTCCTTTCTTTATCCTCTTATTTCTTTTTCTCTGTTTATTCTCTTTATCCTATTTTGTTTTCTCATCTCCTTTTCTCTAGCTTTCTTTTCTTATATTTTCTTATCTTCTCTTCCCTTTCTTATATGCCCTCCTTCCTTACTTCCTCACTTGTCTCTCCTCCTTCAGTAGCATGGTCGGGAATGGTTCTGGACTACATTTATGTCTTACAAGTATTCTGTGGTCTCCTTCCATTTTCTGAATAACTAAAAATATCTACTAGCAGTTCTTAATCATTTTTTCAAAACTATTGATAAAGAAATATTTGGCCTACTTAAATTTCATGTGCCCTATCTAGTTTAGTAAAAGGTAAGGTAGTCCCCCAAATCCCCTTCATCTTTTAAGAAATGACAGTGATGATTCTGCACAATTACATGAAGCTGGACAGCTGTATCTATCATGCCTGAAAGGAAACTGGATGTTAATGTAGATGGAACCAATCTGATGAAGCCTGTGGCTGTATTCCCCAGCACAAAGAGGCTAAAGCAGCCTTGCGGCCCTATCTGGGGACCTACTTACCTAGTAAAAGGAGTGGGACCAGAAAGTGAGTGACAAGGAGTATCAAATAAGGCTGAAATATCAAGTATGGCTATAGAAAAAAGCCTCAGTATGAGCCCCTGGCAAAAAGTACACAAATTAACAGGGAACATCCTGAAAGAGAGAAAAGAAATGAATGTGAAAGAAAAGAATATGAAGCTCTCACAACAAATATCATAATGGAAAGGAAACCAATAATATAGGATTAAAGAATCCTGTAAAATCCCAAGAAAGCATGGAACAATAAGGAACTCTGGAGTAGTTCAAAAGGACATATAAAATCCATTTTTTAAAAGTTAGGAATGAATGAATGTCAGAAATTTAGAGCTCCCACACAGAATTAAAAAAAAATAGAATTGGCTGATTTGGAAAAGTTGAATTTATGGCAGAAAATTTCTAAAGAAGTGAATGAGAAATTTACAGATTTGGAACTCACAAATTCTGAAGTAGAAGAAATTTTAGCAAAAGGAAATCAAAAGGCAACAGTGTTTTTAAAAGAGAAGGGAGAGAAAAGGAGGGGACACAAATTCTATTCAAGCCAGAGTAACTGATCTTGAAATCAGGATGTGCAATGATAACTTCAGGATCACCAGTGTCCCGAAAGAATATGATAAGCCAAATAACCTAAATATCAGGATACAAGCAATGATATAAGAAAACTGCCCAGAACTTCTGAATGCAGACCAAAAAGCATTGTTTGAGAGATTACACAAATTACAACCGGGGGAAAACAGACCCTCCACTAAACTTGGGTGAAAGTTCAGTAATGTTTCATTTTATCCAATACAACCTTGGAGAATCATTTGGCTAAAACTGCCTAATTGCTCTTGGGACGCTCAGTGCCTTCCAGCTAGTCAAAGTTGAACCAAAGAAGTACTTCAAAAGCTGAACTAATCGCAGACTTTTTCCTACTCGGCAGTCTGATTATTTCCCTCAACCAGTGGGGCAAAGGGGAGAGGAGACTGACTGCTCTTAAGTGGATCAGCCAAGGTCCCCTTCTGGTTACCTTTCTCATTCGTTTCCTCCAGCCTTTCACTCAGTGAACCTCAAATTAGATGTTTAGCCCTTTGCTTAGAGGGAGGGAAAATTCAGTGAAGGACATCATTTTGGAATTGATAGTTAGAACTTGTAATCTAAAGAGGGAAGGGGGCAAGGTCTCAGCAAGATTCCGCAGTAGTATTTGATTAGTCATTCACGTCAATATATTGATCTGGACAATTTATGCTAGCCAAGTTACAAATACTTCTCGTGTGTGTTTTTCAACTTGTTCTGTATTCTTTACTTTTCAAGGTGGATGGCAAGATGAAACCTGGCCAGATGGTTGGACAGCAGTAACGAGAGATGGAAAGCGATCTGCTCAGTTTGAGCACACCTTGCTAGTCACGGACACTGGCTGTGAAATCTTAACCCGGCCACTAGATGGTGTGCGTCCTCACTTCATGTCCCAGTTTTAAGTTCTCCTGAGATGACACACCTACATATCTTTTGACTGTGCTGTGCATTTTATTGAGAGTACAGAATAGAGGAGGGTATTTTATCATTTGTTTTCATTGTCTGTAGCTAAGAGAGGAATACAGCATTGGGTGTGTGTACCTTCAAGAACTTGTTGTGGGTCTGAAAAAGCAGTGAAGAATAAAAAAAAAATTTTCTCTACTCCTTTCTTTTCTCCCAATACCCTTCATTCCCTGCTTCCTCATTTGCCTTTTAGACATCTTACCTTCAACCAGCTTACGGTTGCTTCTGTCACTGCTGTGACAGGCCAGTCAATGCCAGCTACTTTCCAATTGAATGTTGTTTGTAAATGAGAATTCTTAACACCTCAGCCAGATTTTTTGCACCAGATTTTTAAAAAAAGATATATATATGTGTGTGTGTGTACATATATATGTGCATATGAGTGTGTGTGTGTGTGTGTGTATTCATGTGTGTGCATATATATATATATTTAAATCTCAGAGACCCACATAATTTCTTGCTGATAACACTTTGGACTAGGGCTGACTTTGATTCTAGTCTAAGGGTTATATAGGATAGGATGTGGTAAGAAATGGGCCCACTGTCTGTAATATGATATAATTCTCGGTTAGAGAATTTGCTTTATTTCCTCCCCCCCGACCTCATTTTTCTTTTTCCTCATGCTTTGCAGCTTCTGTTGTAACTGTGCTTGAGGAAACCCACAATCCATGCAACTTGCTTCCCAGCCTAGACTCTTAGACACACCAGTGGGGGCATGCACCAAATTCACTTTGGAAAAAGTCTGTGGTCTTTTCCCTGCTTATGACAGAGTCTCCTTGTCCACTAACGGTGGCTAGCTTTGCTGGGCCTAATGGATGGATGCAATATACTGCTATTTCAGACCTTCTTTATGTTGGAATTTAAACCAAAAAAGAATTTACAGACTCCTGTCTTCTCTTTATTTTATTTCTTGAGCCTACCTAGGGACCATCATAGGGTGCAGATTGGCCTGGGAGAGAAGATGTGAAAAGACAGGTCGCTTACACATTCCCAGCATGTACAAGGAAGAAAAATGAAATGCTGTTTTGGATCTCTGGTGTAAAATTGAATGGACCTACTATTAGTATGGAACAAACCACTGTAGCCCACCAGGGCATCGAGATTGTCCTCAGCAGGGAGGCGAAGCTTTCCCCCATGCCTCTGGTAATGCACTCCATGTGGGAGACAGATCCTCCCTTTAGGTTTAACTAGGTTACTGGGCTGGAACCTTCAGACTGGGGGGAGAGGGGGCCAGGATCCTAGTAAACTATAGTTGCTCCTTCAGCGTGCGAGTGACCTCAGCTACCACTTTTGGCCTGATATCTCTATTCCTCCAAATCTTTCAGGCCCATCCCCATTAAATAAGTAAATAAAGTCAATAAAGACCTAGCAAAACCTAAAATCACAGTCTCTGATGGGCACATTATTCTTGGGGGTCTGATGACAGCTTGTGTTGTAATTGGCACCACTAAAGCATTCATTTTACAAGAAAATGTCTTCTTTTCCAGAGCGCCTCAGCAAAAATTGTGATTGCAGTTTCTTGACTTTCTTAATTGTTTTTATGATTCAGCAAAATGACCTCTTGGTACCAGATGGGTCTGGGGAGGGTTGAGGGGGTGTAGAGCATGTGTGAAGATTTTCATTACACAGAACGCAATGCTTGTGAATGTAACATATAGTATTATACAAGGCCATAAAGCTTTTGGTGGGGATTAAAACAAAGAAAAACTGAATGATGATCCCACCACGTGTGCTCATCTACTTCGTTATGGTTGTTTGGGGAAGGGGGAAGCTACTTTTCCAATCTAAATAAAGCCAGTAACATTGTTTAGTGACAGAACACTTCTTGGCGGCTGTAAATTACGATTTACAACATTTGGGTTGTTATTAACCTTCTTAAGTGGAAAAATTATCTGCTTCTGGAAGTTGTCCAGATTAAAAGGCAGGCAGCTACTTGATGTTCATCGCCAGAGAGAAAGCCCAAAGAATGCAGAATCTTGGAGGAAGGCACTGGTGGTTGTCTTAGAATAAATTTTTTATTGAGAGCTTTTATTTTTATATCACCTTCATTTTCCAGTGTCCCTTCCTTTTCTCTCACCAAGAGATATGGCTCTTTTGGGTTTTTTTTTTCCCCTTTAATGACTTTTCCAGTTTCTAGAGAATTTTTTTTTAATGTATCAGACCATAGATATTACATGGATTACATCCCTAGTTTTTACATCTTATTACAATTTGGGAAAGGTATAGCTTTGGTCTGAGGAAAACTGCCAGCAATTTCCAAAACAAATTTACCGTGTTTAAATTTTTAAAGATCTCACATCCATTTCAAAGTATGCCTCTGGTGAAAGACTTGGGCCTTTGTTTGTCTTTCTATCACTACTATTACACTTATAGTTGTGATTTTCCCTTACTCTTTTTTAGTCTGTGAGGGCTTATGTATTACAAACCACCGTAAGAATGACATTTGCCACTGTCACAATGATTTACCAAGCAAGACTTCATCTAGTGATCTCATTTAATTTTTCCTGTGTGTTTTGTTTTTTAAAATGTGTTTTATTAAATGGCTGAGCAATCATAGAGCTTTACTTTTGACTGACTGATTAAAATTGAAGGAGGAAAATTCTAGTCTTTGATTGAAGAAGATGCACCTCTCTTGGAGCCAAGTGTCTGGTTGCTCAGAAAATTTCCTTAATCGAATGGTAAACCACCATAGCCTTTGAGGAGAAAATGTGTATAGTGGGTGGTAGACTCATCTGGAGTAGGGGTTCTTAACTTTTTTTTTTTTAGCTCATATCCTGTTGGGTTTCTGGTGAAACCTATGGAACCCTGCAATCATAATTAGAGGAAATTCTAAATTTCGGTTAAAGGCTAGTGAAAATAAAGTTGCAGTTTCTTCCTCGGTTCAGGACCCTCCCACCACCCCAAAAAAAAAAACCTATCAATGGACTCCAGGTTAAAAACCCTTGCTTTAGAAATATGGGAGAAAATTTGGCACCTTGTAATGTTATATGTCATGATTTGCCTGTAATGGGTCATTGACCACATTTGGCTTTTCTTTGAAAGGAGCCTACCAGGTTTGCTCCATGAATGGACTGAGATGAAATGCCATTAGGAAAAATACTTGAGACCACCTAGATTTGCTGCCTCCTTTGTCTTTGCACAAGAGTGGAAGGCAACATGTGGACTTTGAACACTTTTGGAGCAACAGGACTGACGTGCCAGTACTCGGCGTGCTTTCCAAATGAACTCTCCTACCCCCTTCAATTCTGAGGAAAGCATACCATTTCATACATAGAACTTGTGCTGTTAATTCTGGCTGAATTGTGTTTGAACTCCTTGAGGAGCAAGGAACTCCTGCCTGCTGTGGCTCCAGCTGCTCACTGGGTGACCTCCCCGCCTCACCTTTCAAGAGGGGAATCCAGATTTTGCCAGAAGAAAACTGGAATATCTTGTGAGGGTCTCCACCCTCACTTGTATCCTTGTGATATACTTGTTGGCCTATTGCCTTTTGAAAGTGTCCCACCAGGCTCTCCTGATACTCTGATATACTTTTTTGGGGGACTACTGGTGAGCAAGAGAACTATTTATATGTGGTAATTTTATGAATATTTATGAAAAATACAATGTGCATGCTAACTTATCATCATTACTAGGTTTTTTCTTTTTTTGAAACGTGCCAAAAATCCCAAAGAGGCCTTCCTGGTGATATTTTCTTCTGTCACCATAGGTCTTTGTGGTAGCATAAAGGATGATTGCAAACCTGATTCAGAATATATCTCAAAAGGTTTTTAGTTGAGGGAAAAGTAAACATTTCAGGAATGAACGACTGAGATACCAATAAGCTCAGAAAATAAGGAAGAGCCCATTTATTAGCTCCCAAGTTTTTGTTGTTTTAGAATAGTACTCCAATTTTTTTGTTTGTCTTTGGACAACTTGAGATCCTCTTTGCTGCAATTATTACAAAAAATAAATTATTCCAAACTGGTCCGTCTTTTAGAAACAGCATGGTATAGTAGTGGAATTAGGCATCAACATGTGGGTTCTAGTTCCAGCCTTGCCATTGTGTGACTGTATGAGTCACTTAGCTTCTATGCCTCAGTTTCCTAATTTAAGGAATGAATGAAGGGGGTTGACCAGGTCAGAGGTGTCAAACAGGTGGTCAAGAGCTGCCAGAATCAGATTAAAGTGTAATTGGGAAATAATTAACAAAATAAAAATACACTAGGACATACATAGTGTTAATATGGTTTTCTAAGTCAGTGTGGCACCAGCATGGATCCTTATGTATGGTGTATGGGGCCCCATTTCTTTTTGGGGTTGGCATCACTGGTCTAGATCCCTAAAGTCTTTAAGTTCTGTTGTTCTGGTAGTGTCAGCAAATCTTTGATTTCCTTTAGGTTAGAAACAATGACTTGGTTTTAGTTTAGTGGGACTTAATGTGAGATTTTTATCATGATCTGTGTATCTGTTATGGTGTCAAAATCACCTTTTATGTTTTCCTCTCCCTTTGGTACATGAAATATGTTCTTCTTTGGTTTGGGAGAGTATATTATATGCTGGATGTTTGACGTTCATTTCACTTAATTATCTGGCTTTAACATTTTCCTTCTGAAGACTTTTCTGCAAGAAATGTTATTTTTAGTCTTGTACATGTTGAGAACCACTCTTTCAAATACACAACATGGACAAACTCAGTGCTCTTTTATGAGCATATAGCAAACAATGACTGTGGCTATTTTTGCATAAAAAATTTAAATTCAAAATTTTTACTCTTAGAAGATTTTACAACGTTACAATACGATCCTCAGTTTCTCTTTTTGCGTAAGTGGTAATGAGAATGCTTCCATAAACATCTACAACTGGGTCTTTCAGTTTCTCAGTGAACTGGTGTTGGCTGTGACTGAAATCAACAGATGTTCCATCCTAGAATTAATAATAAACATCTTTGGATATGAAATGGCCTTTTCATCCCTGAGACTTGTTTGAAATGCAAAAAAAGATAAGTTTGTATCACAAGAAGGTGAGACCTTCTTGGTCAATTGTCTCAATCTCTGTTCCAATTATTACACCTACTCCCTTAATAACTAGCATTTGTTACTGTAATGTTTAAACAACTGAGAAATTGTTTTCAAATTTGATTTTGTGATGTTTGTTAACCTGGTTTAATTCATTTATATGCTCATCTATGCATCAGGCAGTTTTTCTACTTGGCTTGGTTGTTCTTTGTTGTTACAAAATGAAATGAGATGATAAATGAATGCATTAATTGAACCTTTTATCACTAAGGAGAAAAGAGACTGAACAGGTATAAAAAGAAGACTTTTTTTCTCAGCTGTAGAGAAATGAGGATTGGCAGGTTGGTTTATTTTTTAAGCAAGATTTTGCCTTAATATCTTGTGCAACGAATCTTAGTACTGTGATGGTTGAGGATTCAGCAGTACGCTTGACATAAACTGGAGGTAGTCTACCAATTTGTATTCCCAGTCCATACAGAAACAGCTTTTTATATGTATAAGATACATGTATATATTGTGTGTATATGTATATATGCACAGATACATGTAGATTCTTTTTTCAGTAAATATCATTATAATCAATTTTTATAAAGTGAGCATTTCTGTGTCCATCCTGACTGATGGCCCATAAAACAAATCTTTGCTGATAGCAATTTCCATTGGACAAGAAATCCCATGTGACACATCACTTGTCCAAGTTGCCAAAATTATTCGACAGGGATGTGCATTCTGATATTTATGTGTATTGATTATCAATGTTCTGTACATTGTTAAATACTCAATAAAATTTGATGTGTTTTTCAAAAGGTGTTGGGTGATTGGGGTTGATATATGGAATCGTAGCTCTAGAGTTGGAAGAGAGGTTATCTAGTCCATTTCCTGTGCCTTTCCTTATAGATGAGGAAACTCAGGCCCTATGAGGTTCTGTTGCCCAAAGCAGCAGGGCAGGCTTTGAACCTAGGTTCTTGTGTTTCTTGATCATATTGCCAAATTACCCATAGTAATTTGATTTAAGAAAGGATTAATATTGGGTGACATCTTAATTTGACCATCAACTGAATGAGTGTCTGAATACTGACCCAAAGGATCCCCTTTTGTCATAAATAGTCTCCAGGGCAAAGTGTTTTGGACATAAGGGGGATAATTGGTTCCTTCCTGGGCCAAGAAAGGGTTCAGAGATTTAAGGGAAAATGAATGATTGTACTCGAATTACCAACTGAGATTGGAATATAGTGAATTCCTATCATTTTAGGAGCCAAGATCCAGGCATCACCTCTTCTGTCATATACACACACCATATATAATGTATATACATATATACATTCCCTCCCCAAATCAGTGTTCTGGAAACCATTATCAATCTAAGAATATTATTTAATTTTTAAATTGTTATAGAAGGGATGGAGACATAGCATGCTATTTTGGAAAGCTACAACTTTTCTGTGAAATGTTGGCAAACCTATGAACAGTATACCCCTTCTGTGGACTTTAGCAATAGGCTTTCATACTAATGGGATTAGAGTTAGACAATGATGCAGTAGATTTCTCTCCCACCTACAATGGAATAATGTATACTGTTTCTTTTAGCAACCTATACACAGAAGCACACCTGTCTTCAGATAGTCATTACAGCTATTTACAGCTATTTAACTATTAAAAGGCATTTCCCTTCTTAGAAAGGTAAGGGAGCTATATGCTGTCAGACTATTGATTAGTTTTTCAGAATTGATCGATTTTTTTCTCATATCCTTTATATTTATTATAAATACATACAAATATATTTCTTATAATAAATATCCAAATATACTTCTCTTATTTATGTTTATTATTGTTACAAGAGATGGCTAGTGGTGTAGATACATTCAGAAATGGAAGTAATATAAAAATAAGAGGATTGTAGGAAGATTGTGATGTGCTAGAACCTAGAAATGCCCTCCCCCCCGAAAAGGCACTCCATAAGTGTTAGAGAGGCCCCACTTCACTAGGCCATAGGAGGAATTGCCTCTAAGCTCCGCTGGAGTCCGGTAGGTATCTTGGGATAGACAAGCCAGGGCAGATTGAGAACGAAGCAGGGAAGAACAGTGTAGGCCTAAGACCAGCCAAGCCTGAACCTTTCTCCAAGTTCTGTAGCAGCAGGAGAGCTACCTGGAACATTTTGTTCAGTCCAGGGGGCCCTCTCCAACCAAGCCAGATGACACTGGAGCCCGAGCCTGGCTCAAGAAGAATCGGACTCAGCCTGTTCTGGGCAGGTCCAGCACTTCTGCAGAGAGAGCCTGAGGCTAGTTAGGTTAGCCTTCCAGGGCCACATCGCAGCCCTGCCACAGCACAGAGCAACCACAGGGCCTTTCCACCAGCTCCAGTGGGGCACCAGTGTAAGAAGCCAGTTAAACGTAATAATAGCTAACATTTATAAAGCACTTACTGTGCACCGGACACTATGCTAAATACAATTATTATTTAATTTGATTCTCACATCGACCCTGGGAGTTAGATGCTATTATTATCCCCATCTGTATGGGGAAACTAAATCCAACAAATTTTTCCCTGACTTGCCCGGGGTCACAAAGCTAGTGTCTGAGGTCAACTTTAAACTAGGGTCTCTTGGACTGCAGGCCAGCGTTCTATTCACCTAGCTACCTATGGCCCTAAGCCAAGTTCAGCCCGAGCAGGTGCCTGAAGCCTGTGATGGGAGCCTAGCACGCCAGCACGGCCTGAGCTCAGCAGCAGAGGGGAGGGACCTCAGGCAAAGCCTACAGCAGGGAGAAGTCCAAGAGGCCTGTAACAAGCAGGAGCCTCCAGAAAGATCCCTGGAGGCACTTGAAGGAGGGACCTAGTCTGGCTCATTGTTCACAGGGCCCAGCAGGCAATAAGAGTAGGTCAAACCCACACCACGCAGATGTGGAGTTTGACACCCCTTCTCCATGATCAAACCAAGGAAAACTATGGCCACCACAATGAAATACTGTGGTTTGAGAGGTACTCTGGGGATAGACCCCAAAAAGGACAGTAATCCCATAGCAAATCCAGGTAAAGCTTCAAAGGAAAAACACTCTCTGGCCATAAGAACTGCAAGAGTACCTGGAGGAAATGGAACAAGAAATTTCAGAATGGAAAAGCTAGGAAAGAAAGAATTGCAAGGAAAACGGACACCTTAGAAGATTTCTCTAGGGGTTTCTATACCTTTTTGACATTTTGTAGGTATCAGGACAGCACTCAGGCTGTTTATCTTTTCTCCTTCACTCTCCTTATGTGACATTCATTATTAAAACACAGTTTAAAGTTAATATGCTCACTTTCTCTTCCCCAATTTTACTCTAAATGGCAGCACGTGTGAATCTTGACTTGTATTCAGGCCCTCCAAGGAAGGCGCAGGAAACAAGGGTTTTCTCATACTTTGTTTCAATGATTCTGTTGGGGTGGCCGAACATTAGGTTATGGAGTTTGCATTACTGGATGTAAAAAAATATCACAAGAAACTAAAGCATTCATGGTGAATCAGCTTGGGGAGTGAGGGGGAGAGTAGGAGATAATAGATTTGGTATTTGAAAGTCCTGAACATTAACTCCTGAGTGCTTAGGTACCTTGCTACAATGACGTTTGCCATAAACTGAAACTTAGTCTATGGAACACGTGAAGGAGATTCAGTTACCCAAGTATCTTATAAACCATTTTCATCCATTAGTCCCATGGCAAATGGTGATGCTCTGGTATAACTGTGTACACTCTCCCAGAAGAAATAGTTGACACTTACTAGCTGTGTGACCCTGGGCAAGTCATTTAACCCCAACTGCCTAAAAAAAAAAAAAGAAAAGAAAAGAAATAGTTGAGTTGGACAGTACATATTTGTTGAAGGCTTACTTTCTGGGCTCAGAATCTCAATTTCCTGATAATTACAAAAACCTAGGTACATCAGAGACCTGGAAAGCTGTGCCCATGATTATTTTCAACTTTTCATATTTCTCCCCCCAGCAAATTTATTAATAAAGAATAGCTAATACCGTTTTCCCTCCCTGCTTTGTATCTTTTCTCCCTACCTGCCTTTTGAGAAGATAATGGAAAAATTTCCTTGTTTCTTATCCCAGTACAAATATTTTTCCTCTTAATTTGAAGCAAAACAAAACACTGATACTAGCAAAGCCCATTCTAGTCAATATGTACTTTGTTCTTACCAGTTCAAACCAAAGATTAAATGAAAACAATTACTGACTCTCTGTACCTTTATGAGGTGAGGAAATACCTCTGCATCTCTCTCTTTGACCACTTCCCCCTTATCTCTGCCTCCTAATCTCTTCAGAGGTTCTAACCATGGGGTCTATGTTTAGATTTCAGGGGCCCTGTGAACTTGGACGGGAAAAAAAATACACCTTTATTTTCATTCAGTTCTAACTGAAATTTCTCCTTTCCTTCAATTATGAATACAGGCAACAAAAATGATGCTGAGAAGAGATTTATTGGCTCACAAGACTATATGCAGTCAAATTTTATTTGATTACTATTATTTGCCCGCTGATGGTTGATGGTCAACATTTATTGAGTACCTACTGTGTTCCAGGCACTTTGTTAAGATTCAAAGAAAAGCAAAAGACAGGCCCTGCTCCCAAAAAGTTCATGGTCTAATGGTGTCCACAACACAGCAAAGATGATAGTGCAGACCTATTGGGGCTCCCTAATGCACCTCTATGGTAATATGTTAAAACTGTAAGGCCCAAGAACACAGAATGAAGACAAAGTAGTGCAAAATGAAATGAACAGAGCCAAGAAAACAACATACACAACCTGTACTTCCATGCCTGGAAAAAAACCCAGTAGCAACAAAGCAAAACTGAATGTTGTGTGATGATAATGACCAAGGTTGGTCCCAAAGAAGAAAGGAGAAAAAGCACATTCCTTCTTTAGAGAGGTGGAGTAGTAAGGGCAAAGGTCAGTCATGTTGGTTAGTTTTGCTGAAACTAGTTAGCTTTTTTCCTCTATTCTCACAAGAGGTGGCTCTCTGGTAAGGTGAGGCAGAAGGGATATATTTGGAAATGAAGGCGACGTAAGAACAGAAGCCATCAGTATACGTCGTTTTTTTCTTTAAAAAAAATGTTTTGTCTTACCAAATTCTTTTTATGATACAAATATGGTGTTGATACCTAAACCAGGAAGAGTCAAAATAGAGAAAGAAAATTATAGACCAATTTCTCTAATGAATATAGATGCAAAAATTTTAAACAAAATACTAGCAAGTAGATTGCAGCAACTTATCACAAGAATAATACCCAGGAATGCAGGGTTGGTTCAATATTAGGAAAACTATCAGCATCATTGAGCATATCAGCAACAAAACCAACAGAAACCACATGATCATCTCAATAGATGCAGAAAAAGCTTTTGATAAAATACAATACCCATTCCTATTAAAAACACTAGAAAGCATAGGTATAAATGGAGTCTTCCTTAAAATAATAAATAACATATTTCTAAAACCTTCAGCAAGCGTTATATGTAATGGGGACAGGCTAGAAGCATTTCCAGTAAGATCGGGGGTGAAACAAGGATGTCCATTATCACCACTGTTATTCAGTATTGTACTGGAAACCTTAGCTTTAGCAATAAGAGAAGAAAAAGAAATTGAAGGCATTAGAATAGGCAAAGAAGAAATAAACTATCACTCTTTGCAGATGACATGATGATATACTTAGAGAATCCTAGAGAATCAAATAAAAAACTACTTGAAATAATAAACAACTTTAGCAAAGTTGCAGGCTATAAAATAAACTCACATAAATCATCAGCATTTCTATATATTACCAACAAAGGCCAACAG